AACCAAACACTGTCAATGTTAACCCATATTTTTTGTGTTTTATTGCCTTGGTCATTTAATTTTGGTGCACCCACGTGTGTTTCCCACGTGGGCTGTTTTCTCTCATTTTCTTTACAAATTATTATACAGAATCGAACTTATCGAGAGTTCTATATTGTTACTCCTGTGGAAATGCAACGGTGATTTGTCTCACATTTCTGATTTTCATCTCGGATCCTTTTTTGACCTTTCACTGTGGGGGTAAAGAAAGTTGCAAAGTATCAGCTTTCAATCTCTAAATAACAATAATCTGAAAATTCTTTTTTTTTTTGTTTGTTTTGTACTGCTAATTAAAGGCCAAAACCCCTATTTGCACTCTCCATTTATTTTTTTTTCACGGTCAACACCTTCCAGAATTTTTCCTTCCTATTTACATCCTCCACTTTTCAAACTCGTAAAAAACCTAATATTTTAACGGAGCATCACGACACCGTTAATAACCGTTAAAAATTGTAATACATGGCATTAAACAGTAACATAATCCAATGTGAACTTTTTTTTTAATGATATGGCATAATTAAACCATAATTAATTTTAATTTTTTCATTTTCTTCTTTCCCGCATCATCTTTACCATCTTCCTCTTCATCCTCCTGGGTTCTAGAACTTTATGTCACATTTATTAATCTAATGTTGGACTTTTTTTTATATGTGTTATAATTAAATCATCATTAATTTTAATTTCTTCATTTTCCCCTTTCCCGGCATCATCTTCACCATCCTTGTCCTCATCCCCTTAGGTTTTGAGTTCTTCGTGGAACCTAATTTCACATGAATGCCTACCAAGCTAAGATTTTCATCCACACAATTATAAGTAAATGAATATTGTACAAAAACATGATAAGCATCTTCTACTCCTTTCCCACAAAAAACGAAAAAAACTCAAATTGGCAACCTATTCAAAAACAATCTCTAAGCAAAAAAACTCACCTTTCCAACAAAAAAATTATTTCAAATTGCTTTGCATAAAATCGGAAGCTAAGATAAATACATTTAAAATAAAAAAAATAATAAAAAAAGGTTGGAACGGGGTTCCTTGTGCAAGAGCCCAGAACTGGGTTCCGCGCAGGAACCCAAACTGGGTTCCCCGCGAGGAACCCAGAAACTGGGTTCTGGGTTCCTCGCGCAGGAGCCCAGAATTGGGTTCTGCGCAAGAACCCGAACTGGGTTCCCCGTGAGGATGGTGAAGATGATGCCGAGGATGGTGGGGAAAGAAAAAAATGAAAAAATGCCATTTATGTAATTGTTTGGTAATATTATAATTTTTTTATTATTTTCACTATATACGTGGCGTCCACATCCGTAAAAAATAAACCACGTCATAAAAAAAAAGATACACATTAGATTCTTAACGTTACATAGTGCCACGTCAATTTTTGGGTGCCACGTAATATATTTTTTAACAGTGTCGTGACGACTAGTTAAAATATTGGGTTTTTCACGAGTTTTGAAAAGTGAATGGTGTGAATAGAAAAGAAAAATTCTGGAAGGTGTTGATTGCGGAAAAAAAATAAATGGAGGGTGCAAATAGGGGCTTTGACCCTAATTAAATGGTATTTATGGCTGACAAAACCAATGAAGCGGTTGTCAAAATCAACAAGTATTTTCTCAGTTAATATGGATAATGAACCGGACTTTTAAATCCAATGATTCGATCTCAAATTTTAAGTGTTTTGGTGAGATGATTGAAATTTCGAGCTCTACCATCGTCTTAAACTCCACCAAAGCAGTCCGATGGCCGCGCGTCTCATTTGAGGGGTGGAATATTCATCCGGTCTAGGGATCGAATCTTTAGTTGCTAACAACTAATTCAAACTAACTTTCTAATTATTACCCTTGTCAAAAAAAAATATGGATAATAATTTTTTTTCTCGAAGAACATAGGAATTAATCAAAGTATATATACAGATGTAAAAAAATAAAATTATGTGGGTTA